TATGGACCCTTGAAGATACCTCGGAATGCACAAGAGTTATTCCAACATGGCTGCTTTCGCTAGAAGCGGGAAAATGATTAACCACCGTAACCCATTTAAACCGTCCACTTTATTGATTTCTAATCCACCTCTTAGCATATTAACACCGACGTTAACATAATACTAAACACACACATGCGTCGGAAGGCCCAAAACTTTCATTTATCAACATACAGGCTTGCCCGCTCTGCCTTTTTCGGGACAAAATGGAGCTCGAGAGGGTTTTGAGAGTAGTTACTAAATTGGTCGAGAGGTTACGGGGGGCAATCATACCCCGAGCGTCTACTTAGCTTGGGTATGTATTCAATTCACTACCGACGGCTTCGATGAGACCTAATCCTTACTTACCGCATTTTAACAGGGAAGGTTGGACCGGACTTGAGCTGGCTATTTAGCCCGGCTAGGTTGCCTTGTCTTCGCGGTCATCCCATGAAGCTACACTAGCCGCGTTCTGACCGGATCAGGGCTGGAACTCGCTTCCAGAAAATGTAGTCAGTGAACCTACGATTAAGGGTTTCGAGCGTCAGTTAGACGCTGTTCTGGGGCTTCGTGATCTCCCGTACCCCATTCGACTCCAACAACTAAATCTGTTCTCCCTTGAGCTCCGCCGTCGCCGGGGTGATCTCATCTACACTAGGCGCATCCTCCGAGGGGAACTTGGAAGTGAGTTACAGCAATTCTTCCGGCCCAACACTGGCTGTTCCACACGAGGTCACACATGGAAACTGTTTAAGCAAAGAAGACACAGAATTCGCTTGGACGTCACCCTATCCACTAGAGTGGTGAATGGTTGGAACAGCCTACCGGAAGAAATTGCAGACGCTCCATCCGAGGAAATTTTCAAGCGGCTGATAGACAAACATTCGCTGAGAATGCTGGAATCTTGCGGCTGTCACTGCAATTGCGACGAACCTTCGAGGAACGTCGTAATGCAACGACACGCATCAAACCCAGTTTGATACGGAATCGATGGGGCTGACAAGGGATTTCCCTCCTGCTCTCTACAACTCAGTGAACTTGGATGGCAACACGAAACCTTTCCCTTCTCCTGACCATATCCATCTTCAAACTTTTAGTTCTTATTCTGTCATTCTCTTCACTCTTTGGTGTTATCCTTCATTTAAATGGCTTTCATTCCCCTTTACCTTCTAGTTACTTTCTACTTCTTTCTTACTTCACGTAACCTACACACCGGGGACTGTTAGTGCAGGGAACGTGGGCAGTAATTGGTTGATCAGGGTGTTTCGTTTTAGATCTATCAAGACCTAGCACCTTATCATTTCCTGGCTCAAAGATTTTCTCAAGAAGGAACACTCAAGGGATTTTCCTATCGTTCCACTCCATCTGAATCTGTGTACCATAATCACACTGCCAAAAGATCATTGATCGCGATTGGCGGATCCGACGCTCCGAGTTATGTCCGGTCACCGCTTACCGAGGAGGGCTTTGTTTTGTTTGCCAGATGTAGAATGGCGCAGTGCTCGAGGTGGATATTAGTTGAATTGATGGTGTAAAATGAACTCACTGACGACCAACTCGGTGCTGTTAGTTTGTCCTGCCTTCCAGGCTGGAGTCCGGATTTTGGGATTTATCCGTCGTTCTTTCGGGACCCTAACCGCTGATGTGTTTGTGAAGCTCTTCTCAGCGTTTGTGCGACCCCACCTAGAATATTGCGTCCAGGCCTGTTCACCATGCCTTGTCCGAGACAAAATGCCACTAGCAAGGGTGTTGCGTGTCGGTACTAGGTTGGTCAAGGGATTACGAGGACAAACGTACCCCGAACGCCTGCTTAGTTTGGGGATGCAGTCAATGCACTATCGATGGATTAGAGGGGACCTAATCCTAATCTACCGTATTTTGACTGGGAAGGTTGGCCCTGATTTGTCCTGGCTACTTAGTCCTGCTAGATTGTCTGGTCTCCGGGGGCATTGTATGAAGCTGGACAAACCGCGGTCCGATCGAGTTAGAGCGGAGACACGGTTATCGCGTCGAGTCATCGAGCGCTGGAACCTGCTTCCAGAAAAGGTTGTCAAGAAAGCTACGGTTCAGGGGTTTGAGCGCCAACTAGACGCTCTTGGGTGGTAACACGAAACCTTTCATTTTTCCCGACTAATTCCCATCTTCATACTTCGATTCCATTTTCTTTACTTTTCCCCGCTATTGGTATTATTCTCTTCTTTTAACTGATTTCCCTTACTCTTTTAACTTCGATTTTTCTTTTTCTCTTACTTCACGTAACTGACGTAGCTGGGACAGCTAATGTAAGGAACATGGGCATTAAATTGGTGGACCAGGGTGTTTTTTCGGGTGTTTTCTTTTTAGACCCATCAAGAAGTCGGAGCACCCCTATCAACTCCTGGATCGACGACCCGCTCACGAAGGAGCACTTACGGGATTCATCCTATCGTTCCAGTCCCACTTGAACTTGAACTTGTCCGTGCGACCGACGTACTGTTTGGCTCGAGATGTTGTAGGACGTGGTTCACAGTCGGCACTAGTGGCGCGTCTGCTGCCGTCTCCTAGTCGGACTGCCTGTTTAAAGTGTGTTTGGTACCGAGTTGTTTGCGGAGTTATGGCGGGGCAGTGAAAGCCGCAAGGAAGCCGTCTCGCTGATGCAGCCTTATATTTGCACGATAGCCAACTGTTTGTAATACTACGTTGTTGACAAGGTGTAGGCGCCTTGACCCTGCATGTTTGTTTAGGGCACTAAGGTGTTATGCTAGGTCTCTTCTCTCCCTGTTATTATTTTTCGTTCCTTAAGTCACCGTGGTTGTACTTCAGCGATGCATCAGTTCAAATGGCTGATGTAATACACTTGATGATGATGAAGGTGACGATAGGGCTCACGTACTAGCCTCTCAGTACTCCTCAATCTTCTCCGTGGAATCGTCATTACCGACTGACTATCTGTCAACGCATTGTCCTCCCCTCGAGCAACTTGAAATCAATCCCGTGATAGTCAAGTGACTCCTCCTCGAATTAAGCCCATACTCCGCGCCGGGTTCTGATGGACTTCACCCGGTATTTCTTAAAATGGTAGCCGAATATCTTACTGACCCAATGTACCGGGTATTTTGGTGCTCGTTTGCGGACGGCCGCTTACCACCTGACTGGCAAGTAGGGGTCGTAATCCCAAGTACAAAGGAGGGAACTGGCACCATCCTGCAAATTATCGGCCGATACGCATGCCGTCTGTAGTCTGTAAGAACAGAAAGAATCGTTAAGTGTGCCCTCCACTTTTACCGCAAAAGCCTGTGCACCATCTCCCCGCTCAGCATGGATTCCGCAGAGCACGTTATTGCATCTTTAACTTACTTGTTGTTAAAAACATGGGTCAAAGCATCAGACGACCGGAAGCACCTAGATGTTGTCTACACTGACTTCAACTAAGTCCCATACACGGTAAGACGAAAGCTGGTGGATGCACGCATTTCGTATTGTCTTCTCAGTACCATTGACAAGAACCGGTATGCAAGTATATACTTAACTATGGGTGTGACCAAATAAGCATGAGGTACAAAATGAATGATGGCTTATGACTGCCGTGGACATAGAGGTGGAACTTCCGTCATTCATTTTGCACCGCATGCATGCATCTACCAGCTTTCGTCTTCTTACGGTCCTTTTCAAATTTCTGAAGGGAACTAACTGCTTTAAGTCTCATACAATCAACTACTGATTAAAGTTCGGGGAATTGACTTCACTGGGAACGTCCTTTCATGAATTGCTGGCTTCTTGAGTGATCGGACTTTCGACTAAATGTGAACCAAACGCTGTCTGCTCGTGTCTATGGCGATCGGCGTTCCTCAAGACTGTTCTTGGACTGGAACTTTTCAAGCTTTGCATTAATGACCTCCCTGTATCTATTCAAGGCGAATGCTTAGTCTGTGCTGATGATCTCAAGATATGATCAGAATTATCTAGACTTGAGAATGCTGACATTTCAAACCGCACTGGACTGGCTTCAGGATTGGTCCATCAAATGGCAACTCCTTGTAAACCACGACTAATGTACCGTTCTTCTAATTGCTGACCTGGATTCCTTCGATACATGCCACATTGACAGACATCTCAAGAATGTCACTCACGAGAAGGATCCGGAACTTATCGTATCATCTGACCTTAGAACATCACAGGAAACCCTTAGGAATGTCGCGGCCGCCAACAGAATGCTGTGTGCTTTGCGCAGGTCGTTCTCCCGTGTCACTCGGGCGATTTTCAGAACCTTACTCGTCTTAAATGTTTATCCCATACTGGAGTATTGGCTTCCAGTTACTTCTTCTATCGAAATCCGAATGCGCCTTGTTAGAAAGGGTGCAAAGGCTTGGCTCGAACTCAGTCATGGAACTCTAATATCTTGCTTACTTTTTTCAAATCCGAAAGCTGAACTTGTTTCGCCTTGCAGATCTCATCTACACTCGACGAATCCTAAGAGGGGAAATTGGGTGTGGACTAAAAGCTCACTCCCAATTTCGGCTCAACTTGGCCAACTCACCAAGGAGTC